CTTTATCTTTGAAAATTTCTTTACGTTCCAATTCTTTTTTGATATATATCACAGTCCCTCTATGTTTTTTTCTCAGCCAAAGAATAAAATTCTTCCCCTAATTGTTTGGCAGCCAAATATTTTGAATCGTGTCTTTTGATATGAGTTTCTTGCAAGCAAATCACATTACACTTTTGTTTTCCCAGCCAATGTTTCACAATTTTCCTTTTATTGGGTGAATTAAATCCGTTCACATTCCATGATATCAATTTGTAATCTATCTTGATGTCTAATTACTTTTCTCCAAAGTTATTTTCGTTCTCAAACATAAATCTGAGCATCTGCTCTGCAGTCTTAATCGTCTGTCTTTGACTTTGAAAGGTAAAGCTTACTCCTTGTGGTATTTCCCATCTGTATCTAATACCCTGCTGTTTCAGCTTGTCTGTCAGTCTCTTATATTTCTTTCTGTCTTGAATAATTGCTCTGGGAAGCTCTTTCATTATTATTATCTTCTTTCCTTCCATTTCCAGTGGTTCAGTAAATTGTTTCTTGAGGATAATCTCTTTCAACCTTTTTGTTAATAACTGAACAATCACATCTCTCAGCAGATTCTTCTGTTGTGCATAAGCTGAGTTCACTCTGTAAATCAGATCAAAATTAACTTCAAAGTCTTCCACATCTTCTTGTAAGTATTCTGCAATGGCTTTGATCACTCTGGTACGAATATCATCTTCCGTTTTTTCCTCCACCCTTCTCAATCTTAGATGGGTCTGCATAGCCCTGTATTCCATCATTGTGTCTATCCGTTTACTTTTTTTCATCACTGTATCCACTTTCATGTTTATATCTTGTGTTCTTTGCTCTAATTCAGTAGATTTTTGTGCTAAATTCTGGAACTCTTTTTTAAATTCTCCCACTTCTTTTTTAAGTTCAGCAACTTCTGCTACTACCAATTCTTTCATTGCTGCCATATTTTTTTTCATGAACCTCTTCCATATGTTGAAAAGCGTCCATCATTATTTTTTTCCATAGCTTCCATTGCTGCTTGCCAATCTTTATCTTTAGCCTTAGTCATCTTTGGAGTCGACCACGACCCAGCTCTCTGTCTCTGTCTTAGATCCGTTATTTAAAAAAAAGTAAAACTCTTCACCTTGCAAACGATCTGCTTACACAGTCCAGTAGTCTTTTATGCGCTTAATCGAATCACACTATTTTCTTCTATTTATATTCAAATCTCAGCCAAATGTCTCAATTTTAAAAGTCAGTCCTCCCAAAAATGTCGGGCGCATCCTTTTGTCCTTCACTTCCTGTCCGTCCACTTGTTTGCTCCTCTTCTTAGTTTCCGGTGTCCCTCTTTCTTCTTCCCCTTCTCCTTCCAGTCCGTCTCTTTACATGCCAATCTCCTTCCGGTCCTCCGATGTCCTGTTCAGCCACCTCTCTGCGCCTCTTCAATGCTCCCTCTGCGTCACTTCCAGAACACCACCATCTTTGTCTGTTTCCGCTCTTCTCCCCCTTTCTTTCTTGCGCTCTTTTAAACATGAGTTTCTGTTTCTTTTCTTTTTTAAAAAACAACAACTTTATTTGGATATAACATCAAGTCAACCAATATAACATTTTAGTATCCATCATCTGTTCAACAATAAAACTTATGTCCCATATCTTTTTACCCTCGTTACATCCGTCCCCCTCCCATTTCCCTCCCCTATACATGGCTTCCCGCAGTGCTTCGACCTCCTGCGCTTCTTATTTCTAAATTCAATTTCCATTTAATATTTCTTATATTTCACTAGGTAACACTTCTGTCCACTCCGTCTTTCTTACTCCTCATTTTCTACAGTCTCCATAATGGTTCTACTTTTAGTAATTATCAAAACTAAATAATGTGTCTTTTGCGTCTTCATATTTTTCCAAATAGTCTTTTAAATCCTTCCAGTCTCTATAAAAATCCTCCGCATCCAACGTGAGTTTCTGTTTCTTATCTCCCTCACCGCCACAGGAATGCTAAACAATGTCCTTTTTTCTGTAAATTCGCTCCAATTCACAACTTTTTCTCAGTCCACTTTCACTCAAGTATTTTTAAAGTTCGTTATCTCTTATCCGGATGTTTCAACATGCGCACATCTCCACTTCCTGGTAAGTAGAATAGTATTCGTTACCTTGTTTGTTAATTCAGGTTTTTGCACTGTCTCCGTTGGTCTTAATCTTTTCTTTTAGTCTTTGAGATCGGGAAATGACGATTTTAAGCTGACGTTTCAGCTCGGTTAGCTCCTTTAGTGCTGTATGCGCTCGCCCGCTTCGGGAGAGGGGATCAAAGTGTGAAACAAGCCTCCTCCGAGACTTAATCACACCAATCTCAACTCTCTCTTGGGTCTTGATGCCTGCCAGTCATTCCCCCTGCCTGGGGGAAGCTGCGTTGGACCAAATTGCAGTCCAAACTGTTTAAAGGAACCACCGTCCACCCTGAGCAATTACAGTGTGCGTCAAATCACCATTTTACTCTGACCGGAAGCTGTAACCAATGTTCTTTAGATGTAGAAACCCCAGGAATTTTTTCCCTGATCTAGGAATTTGATTGGGACTAAAGTGTCAAGGTGTATTACCATTTTATGGCTTCTCTTCCCGTCTTTGTTTGGCGTTCTGAAGAACAAGAAGAGTAGCCATACTCTCTCTCTCTTCTAGTTTTGTCTTTGTAGAGTAAGGATGTAGCCGATTATGCTCTGTTGTTATTTTCATCGCAGTTACCCTTCCCACGCTAGAATTTAGTAAAAACTTTATATTTTAATCACACATGGACTGTCAGTCTGAAATTATTTTACTCTGGCTCTGCTGGACTATTTTATCTCCGCTAAATACCATTTTTTTTTCAATATCTCACTATCACCCAACACTTCCGCATAGATTTATGGCCATTCAGGGGTGACTTTGCAGTCAGTACAGTGTTGCCCCAGAGTATCTGAATGTGGTTTTGAGCTGCACCGTTTTCTTCCTCCGCTTCCGATTCGAAGGGAACAATAAGACAACTTGACATGGCTTCATTGATCTCTGTCAGTTAACTTGCCCCTATTTACCCCTCTGTATTTATCACCTCACCATGAATTACTTGGCTCAGTCAGGTGCTATCCACCATCCAAAGCATCTCCTACGTGGCTAATGACTACTGAGATTACTGACACAGGAAAATCTGCATACAATTCAGGAGTGAGCACTGGAAACAAAATAGATGGCAAACTGACAGGGGGTTTAATGGGTAGCCAATGCAGAAACCAGGATCCTAGGCAATGCGATAAAAACAGATATTCCGAGGTATGGGGGAACCAGGTCAAGTTCTAAGAAAATGTGGAGCGAGTGCCAGATGCAGAATGGAATGGTAGAAGATACAGGAAAATATGGTTTCCCCTCCCTTGCAGCCCCCCTCTTTGCACACAAGTATACATCATAGCTCCATTTTAAACATGAGTTATGTGTATGTTAGTGCTCAATTAAAACTGTTGACCTATTCAAGATATATTAGATATTTGCTGCAGAATGAGCAATGAAGTTCCATAAATATAAGTCACATTATAATAATTTTTATTTGATTGCTAGTGTAAAAGGAGTTACCATGGCTGCCAATGGGCTGCACTGCCATTTTTGCTGGCACAATTTTGCACCTGTTCTGGGGTTGGTCCCACTCTGAAAATGCTTTGGGTGCAGACTGGCTGGTGCCACACCCCTGGCACACCCACATTTATGCCAACGCTGGGGTTTGTGTAGGGATCCCAAGTCCCTCGGGGGGGCGGGGAAAACCCCACCCCAGAGGCCCGTTCCCCGGCGGCGCCGGATCAGGCCCGGGGGGGGAACTCCACCCTGACGTGCGCGTCACTCGGAAGTAATGCGGGCACGCCGGGGGCAGGGCCACGGCCATACAAGGGAAAACTCTATGGTTTTCCCTTGTATGGCCGTGGCCTCGCCCCCAGCGTGCCTGGTGTCCTCCCGTCACTTCTGGGTGATGTGTGTGCAGCGCGCGCACACAAGACGCTGGCCGGGAGCCCCTCGGTCCTGGCAAAGATACACTTGGCAACCCTAGGTTTGTGCCATCACTCTGCCAGTGTGTGAACTTTCCAGTGCAAGTTCATTGTGCACCACTCGTGCCCTCTGCTGGCATAAATACCTCTTATACTGGTGTATATCCAAGTTACGCCAACATTGGGGTCAGTCGGCTCCTTATACCGATCCCCCACCCCACCCCAGGATTGCTCTGCTAATAATTCAAGAAACTCATATAAAGGGAAATTATGAGAAATTTCTAGACACAATATATAGTTCACTAGCTAAGTTTAAAAAGAGGCATGTTGCAACTTTTTGGAACCTCAACCTTCATTTTAGAGTACGTAAATTCAAAGCAGATGAAGGTGCAAGGTATCTAAAGAAAAAAAGGAAGTCTTCAGGGATTAAAATTTAGATGAGTTAATACGTATGCACTTAGTTACTATATGGTGTATTTTTAAGGAATTATTCGATCTCTTGAAAAGTTTTGCTGAAGGTGAAGTCATGATTGGAAAAGATTTTACTAGAATTATAGATGTGGATGTTGGTAGATTTTGTGTACCCCAAAGCCTCATAAAATTAATAAAGGGAATTCAAACATCGGCTAAGACTAAATAAAGGCTTAAAAATGAAACATGGATTATTGAAATGTAAATAAGATATGTATCTTTATGTGAATCTGCTTACTGGGATTTGAAATTTGTACAGTATATTTAAAAATAAAATTAAAATACATTAGAATGAAAACACTGGAAAATGCTAAACATTAAAGATGGTGGTGGTTAGACTTTTCAAGCTCTTACAAAACAATATGAAGACAAACAAAAATTACGTAGTTTCTTGTAATTGTACTGCAAATTTAAATAGGAAATAATTTTCACTAAAAAGGTATTTCAGTGTTATTGTAAAGCAGCAGTTTATGCTTGGTTGTGTTTGCTAGTTTGTCAAGTTGTGTTTGAGCTAAGTAATCAATATTGTGTGCTTTTCTCTTCTAGATTGCCAGCCGATGGGTCTGGGATGACGCAAGGGATAACTGGGTTTCAGCCCTACATGAAACTGAGAACTATGTTACAGTGGCTTTGATAATTGCTGGTTATTATGAATAACTTCCTGAAAACAAATATACTATAACAATACGTTATTATGAATCTCTGCAATAGTTTATTTGCTGAAATAGAAGTGTGGTAGTCCGTTCCGTCCATCCCCCCCCCCCCCAAGGCTGTTTGAATGATACTCATTTGCAAGAAGTCTTTGCAGTGAATTGGGCACTACTGGCATCCCTTGCTTCTTGAGCCTTTTCAGACTGCAGCAGCAATATCCAAATTAACATCTATTCTGGCTATTTCTCTTTTGTGGGCTTTGCAAATATTTTCAGTTTTCATTCTTTTCAGTTTTTGTTCTTCCATGTATGTACAAGTATATGCTTCAAAGTGAGAAAGGACTCATGGCTATCCCAGGACTTGCAGTGGAAAGCATTGTGGTGAAATGGTATGTCACCCAAGATATACGTATAAAAGTGTACAACTTTGTAAGGTGAATACTGATTTTGTACATTGTGCTTGCTCAGCTAGGCTACTCTAAAATTACCTTTACAGGCAGGCAAAAAAACCCAAGTGTTTCCTTCTAAATTTCAGTCTCTGGATGTTAGTGGGATAATTCATACATTAATAGCTATAGTCCAGAAAACCATTGACCTGTTACTTGCCTGGGGAAGCAGCATGTATTCAGTGGAGGTAGCAGGAACTTTGTAGGGTTTTAGCTGGTGACTTTCCACTAAGTAAAGATGGGAAGAAGTCTGTTAGCTAGACAGAGGATCTCTGTCCTTTTGTGAGGAGGCAGAACACATGGTGGGAGGAAAAAGTAGAATTCTTTTGAAGGCTGGCTGCTCATATTTAACTTTCAGTCCACCCTTACCCCAAGACCTTGTTCACACATACTGTTACTCAGAAGTGTATCCCGTATCCAGTATGTGTGTTCCTCATTTTTGTTACCCAGATGTAGAAACTTGGCACTTATCCTTGTTAAATTGCATCTTGTTCACATCTGCCCACTTTTCCAGCCTGTTCAGATCTCGTTGAATTCTATATCTTCTGGTGTGTTCGCTGATCCTCCCAATTGACCACTTTCTTACAAAAACACCAAACGAATTATAAATGGTTGGTGCCCGAAGGACTGGTTTTCAAGTTTAAGGACAAAAGAGAAAAAATAGACTCCATCTTCAAAGCTCAAGACTTCTTGAAAAAGCACGCCAGTAAAGAAGAAGGTGCAGAACTAGCCAAATGGATGTTGACGTTAAGCGTAGAAGACAGCAGCTCGGAGGGAGAGGTGAAGGACGAGGAAGAAAGAGGAGCGACGAGTTCAAAATACAACCTGAGAGGGAAAAATGGGAAGAATCCCAAAGTTTAAAAGTTGTTTATCTTTTTCGCTTTTTAATGGACTTTATTTTGGAAGAGAAAACTGATACCAGAAGGACAATACTAATATACTAATTGCCTTGTTTAAAAATAATAGAAGAAAAGAAGAAGCTTCGACGATGGAAGAAATTATGGATGCTCTGATTTACTTTAAAAAGTTTAACAAATTAACATAATACTAACACCACTCACTTCTTTTCTTTGTTCTATTTCTAATTTTAAGCGAAATATCTCCCCTCTTTAGGGGAGCAAATAAAGCATTAAAAAAAAAACAGCTTTACTGAAATCCAGGTAAACAACATGAACAGCATTCCCTTGATCCAGTAAGCTTTTCACTCAGTCAAAGAAGGAAATGAGGTTGGTCTGGCAGGACCTGTTGGGGTCAAATCCATGCTGATTTCCCCAGATCACTACATTATCCTTTCGATGCTCGCAGATCAATCTCTTTAAAATCTGCTCCAGTATCTTACCTGGGATAGAGGTCAGACTGACTGGCCTGTAGTTTCATGGGTCATCCCTCCTCCCGTTTTTGAAAATTGGGATAATATCTGCCCTCCTCCACTCTTGTGGCATGTCTCCCATCTGCCAAGGAGTCTGGAAGATGATGGACAAAGGCTCTGCAAGCTCTCTAGAAAGTTCTTTGAGCACTCTTGGGTGCATACCATCTAGCCTGGGGGATCTGTACTTATTCAATGTAGCCAAATGCCTCTCCACTGCCTCTCTGTCCATGTCAACCAGCAGCCCAGATTCTATGACTTGCCTACTACTATCTCTAGATGAGCCTGTTTTCTTCTTCAGGGAAAAAACTGAGGCAAAATAGGCATTGAATCTTTCTGCTTTCTCTCTGTCCTCCGTCAGAGTTTCTTCATTTTCACCCAACAGTGGGCCCATCACCTCTTTTGTCTTGCATTTACACCTCACATATCTGAAGAAGAGTTTCTTGTTGTAGCGAGCCTCCCTGACCACTGTGAGTTTTGGCCTCTCTGATGGCTGATCTACAGTGCCTAGCAACCTGCAGATACTCTTCTTTAGAGGTATGTCTTTCCTCCATTTCTTGAACATTTCCTTTTTCTCCCTTAGCACATCACGCAGTTCTCTGTTCAACCACATTGGCTTCTTGGATCCCCTACCATGTATCCTTCTCGTTGAAATAGCAACAGCTTGAGCTTGCACGAGCTCTTGTTTTAGGAGAGCCCACCCTTCACTTGCTCCTTTCCCTTCCAACAGTCTTGCCCATGGAATGATTCTCATCATACCTCTCAGTTTATTAAAGTCTGCCTTACTGAACTCTAACTTACATGTGTGGTTACGAACTTGCTTGGCCCCCCCACAGCAAAAGGAATTCTAATAGGACATGGTCACTTCCCCCTAAGGTCCCCACCACCTTCACCCATTCTACAGTCTCTTGTCTGTTGGTCAGTATTAAGTCAAGTATGGCCGAGCCCCTCGTAGCTTCCTCCACCATTTGATAAAAGAAGTTGTCATCCAGACAGGTCAGGAAGTTGCATGACTGGACGCTTTGCAGATTTTATCTCCCAAGCACACATCAGGGAAGTTGGTCACCCATAACTACCAGGTCATGTTGTTTGGATACCCTGTCAAGCTGTTCAAGAAGGGCAGCATCAACCTCCTCATCCTGGTCAGGAGGTCTGTCCTAGACTCCAACCACAATACTGTTTGTCCTTCCTGTCCCTTTAATAGAGCCTTAAGGTGTGGAAATTGTCAGCTGAAACTTTTCACTGTAAGGAGGTAACTTTTATTTGACAAAAGGGAATGCAATTCTGGAGGAAGCTCATACATTTGTAGGGCTTCCTTATACCTGAACATGCTGTTGCTGTGTTTTCCCCCATCCTTCTTGTGTTCTGCATGCCATAGTGTTGAGCTAATAGAGGAGGACATGGTTGTGTTATTGTGTCCTGGTTTTCCATAGAGTGGAAGGCAAATTTGCAGCTTCATACTGAAGTGTTTGAATGGGTGCTATGTATTACTGAAAAAGAAGAAGAGATTGAATTTATACCCTGCCCTTCTCTACCCGAAGGAGTCTCAGAGCAGCTTACAATCTTCTTTCCCTTCCCCTCCCCTCAAGAGACACCCTGTGAGGTAGGTCATAGGTGCGACTGAAAGAACAGCTCTGAAAGAACGTATGACTGACCCAAGCATGTAGAGGAGTGGGGAATCAAACCCGGTTCTCCCAGATTGGAGACCACACTCCTAACCACTACACAAAACTGGCTCTAAACTGAGAAGGAGTTTAGACTAGCATTTAAAAGAATTGCTGGGTTAGAATGCCATAAATATTGCCCTGGACAGTATTTAATTTCAGCTGGTTGTTATTCAATTCCTAACAAATTTCAGTCCTTGACTTGGAAACCCAATGTAATTGCAAATGCGTGACGTGGGCAGTAGCTATTTTGTGGGTGAGGGAAACGTATTCGACATGTTGAGTGATATTAAGCTATGTGTCCCAGAATCAGAAATACGTGCATCCACAAAAGATGGCAGAATGCGCCTAAGACTGAGGCACATTGAATAATGAAGTTCCTTGTTTCTCATACTTCCAACTCTTCGGGACTTTTAAAGTATACCCACTAGTACTATTAACTTCCATCAGACGTTAGGGGACGGGCTGATCGGGCGCCCCTTCTTTGTTGGTCCTCTGGCATCCGAAGACAGAAATGGCTTGGAAAACGAGCTGCGCTACTATCTCCACACCCGCAGGTGGCGCTGTTCCCCGGGAGAGATGGGACTGTGCCAGACCGGCAGGGGAAGAGAGATGGTCTTTCGCTCCGCCCACCCGTTGCCGGCGATGGCGGCCGTTTTGTCCCCTCGGGTGTGTGACAGCGACCCGGCCACGCCTGGAGCCCAGTCTTTAAAGGTGAGGGAGAGCGAAGATTCCTTTCCCGGTGGTGCTTGGGAACGGTAGGGCGTAAGACAGGTGAATAACTAACGTGAAGGAAGAAGCCCGGGAGCGGAGTCGCCGCTGCGGAGGGGAAAGGAGAAGCGTCGCCTCCCCTTTCCTCGGGCTTCTAGTGAAGGTAGTGCCGGGCCGGGGAACTCCGCCAGAATCCTGAGATGCTGCAAGGAGCCCCCAGAAAGGGCTCTTCTTAGGCGGCTATACTTTGCCTGAACTTAACGCCTCTGAACTGACCTTGGGTTCAACTTTGGGTGTCGTGCATACCCACACCTTTCAGACGACCACTCATATCTTTAGGGAAGTTAAAGGGATGTGTTGGGAGAGACCACTGAGGTGTGAGCTAAATCTGTTCACTGCTGTTAGTGGCCCTAGCTCCTGCTGAGAACTGAGCTTTCCGCTCGTCATCTTGGGTTGTGTTTCTTGGTCTCACTGGGAATGTGACTAAGTGTTGCTTATGGGGTTTCAGTATGGATAGAAGATCCGTGAGCTATGATTGCTATCTTTGTTTGCTGGGAAGTAATTCCCGTTAGTATACTTTAGCTGGAAGTATACTGGAAGTATTTGAAGTAGATGTACAAGCTGTTGGGAGTTTTCTAGTCCTGCATCCGATGGAATTGAATTTTATCTTTTTATATTGTATGCACTATGTGCCTTATGTAAGTCGTCCTGAGCCCATTCGCGGGGAGGGCGGGGTATAAATGCAGTAAAATAAATAAACTTAGGAGTACAGCTTCATTCAGATTCTCTGCAGCAGTATGATTCCCTGTCACTCTCACCAAAGACATTCCGTTGGCTATATCATGCAGTGTTAGAGATATGTACTGCAGGATTTCTTGCCTCAGCTGCTGAGTGTGATTCAAGCAAGTGTAACACCCTTTGTGATAGTGCAAGACTGAAAGGGTACCACTCTTGTCTGCATGCTGCTTCATTGGTGGTTATTTTGATCCTGTAAAGGGAGGTGACAATGAATCCCTTTAGTATAGGGTTACCATATTTTGAAAAAGCAAAAAAGAGACTATATTTCCCAACTGACTACTACAAACAAGTGATCGCTATGACAAATCTCATTTTAAGTACCCCTACTATTTAAGCTGTGATAATTGCTACTAACTAGGAATATTTCCAAACCTTCCAACTCTAAAAGAGGACATTTTCATCAGTTTTTAAAAAGAGCTCCAAAGAGGACTGACACACACAAAAAAAAACTTTGCTTTTTCAAAAGAGGACATCTGGTAACCCTGTTTAACAGCAACCAATATCTGAGTGCACATAGCTGCTAGAGCAAGGTTTTAGATTCAGGTATCCAGTTCTGTATAGAGCATGTGCTGTTCTGGGCCATGAAATGCATAACTGTAATATTAACATTTTTCTTTCAGGTCTGTGATGAGTATGGTGTTTTATACATGGGGATAGTCTTGTGTAGTTTCTCTGTTGCTGATGGCAGGACAGTGGCAATGAGGCTTCTACATGGCAGGCTCCCCCCCCCCCCCTTCCTTGTCTTGGTCCCCCAGCAGTAGCCATTCTCCCTTCCCCTCAGCTCCTGGGGCCTTTTCCATTTTTTTTTTTTTGCATTGTCAATTGAATATCATTATAGCAATCTATCTGTTAGGTTCAGTGAATTCCCTACGTTCATTGGTTTAAAAAGCAAGTCTATAGTCTCTTTTGATACAGAGGTATAAGTGGAAGGGCATTTAAAAATGAAAATGAAAGCTGGGGATTCAGAGAACTTGACTGCTATAATAATATTCAGTTGTCAATTAAAAATAATAATAAAAAGCCTGCCCTCCACCTGTAGCAGGGAGAATAGTTGCCTTGTGGGCAGGACTAGGAAAATCTGAACTTTCCAACACAGGAGCAGCTATCCAGGCTTTTACAAAACTTTGTGGCAAGGCTGGTTTGGGAAGGATTGTAGAAAAGTTGAGGAAAATCCAGAAGGTGCAGGAATGTACCATGATGCTGTGGGGAAGGGGGATGGAGGGGAATGTGCTTCCCAACAGCATCAAACCTAGGACAGATAACTTGGGTAGAAGTTTTTGTGCTGAAGGTCCTTGGAGTTCTGTGCATTAACATATGGCATTTTTGTCTTGTCTCAGGATGACACAGAAGAAAATTCAAATGATGGCAGCCAACCTTCTAAAAGACGACGAATGGGCTCTGGGGACAGCTCACGAAGCTGTGAAACCTCAAGTCAAGATCTTAGGTAATGCGTTTTTAATATCATTCTCTAGAATGATATCATCTATGCTCTTTCTGATTACTGTTTGGTTATTTAAATATCTGTACACATACTTGGGCCTTGCTGATTTGCTTAGTCAAGAGGGTGTTGAAACTGCTAGGGTACTTTTCTGTGAACTAGAGCTCTGAATTTGGTGTATACTTAGACAAAGTAGGCCACTAGAAACATCTAAAAGTCTTGTACTTCTGTTCCTTGAAATTAACCAGACTTCTTTTCTTCAGAAATTGTACTTAGATATAGTGAAGCTATTTCAATACCAGGTAGAATACTGAAATTTGGTACAAATATAGTTGAAGACATCTTGATGAGTAGATTGGGCTAAAAATAGTACATTTTAACATACAGCACTCTTTAAGGTGAGTTTATGCATAATACAGGGCAGCATTCTAGTACAGAGTATCTGAAACTGCACATGGATGAAATGTTAGGCTGCTGAATTTTCATTCCTCTTTTATTTATTTATAAATATTATTTCATCTTTCTATTAATGTGTTCAAGGCAGCCAGCCCGAGTATTGCTGTATCCCTAAGCTGTTAGTGAATAAAGCAGAAATGGCAAACTAAGTGCTGTCCTTGTGCTCCCCGATGACAATTGGTGGTCCTTTAAAAACTGACTGTTTTCAAGTTTTGATCTTTTTTGTTTAGCTTTAGCTACTTTCCAGCTGAAAATCTTATAGAATACAAATGGCCACCTGATGAGACCGGAGAATACTACATGCTTCAAGAACAAGTCAGTGAATACTTGGGTGTGACCTCCTTTAAGCGAAAATATCCAGGTATTCATGTTAAAGGCTTATGTGAATATTGCAAATTAATTAGTTTACAAAATGTTTACAAATTAGTATTTTAATACATTTAGAATGTTTAATACACAGTTAAGCCAAAATGCACTTTTACAGGACTAGATGGCTGGTAGAGAGTTAGTGCCTCTGAGTTCAGCCACTAGAGATTAGGTTTGAGGCAAACCACCATTTTTGTGTAGCTATTCAGTCAGTTGTGATCAACATCATCTCTCCTTCCACCCAGTTGCCATTTGTTCCGTAGTGGAATGGTACAGGCACCAAATGGTTGTTTCCTCCATTGGGGAAAATAGTTTGGAGTGAGGGGTGATAGGCAAAAGGGAAAGGATTAAGCTCTCCCCTACTCACACACCATAGGTTCTGATCTAGATCTAGCTACTATTAGTGGTGCTATTAATGACTTAGGAACCCCCCCCCCAGGAGAGCGGTTTACTGATATTCTGTTGTTGTGTCTCATTTAGTTGGTTTCATAATTTAATTATGATATTTCCAGCTTTTTTAATATTGCTTCCCTTGACAGCAAAAGAGGTTGTGGATTTATGTATTAAAACTGATGATTCATTATTTTTGTCTTTTATAAGATTTCTAAGGTTGCTAACACTTCAAAGTAAATTCTGTGGAAATCAGTTGACATTATTATCAAGACTCCAAACATTTTGAAATATTTTTAGTATGACTAATAGTTTTTTAATGCAAACTCTTGCGTGAAATCTAATTTTAATGCAACGATATTTAAATGTTTTGAAGAAGTTGTAAAAAGCCATTACACCTTTTTTTTGCTACTTTTCTTCTCTTTTCCTGGAGATTTAGAAAGACGAGATTTATCTCACAAAGAGAAACTCTACCTCAGAGAGTTAAATGTGATTACAGAAACACAGTGCACCTTAGGTAAGACATTTTTAATGTAGTATTTAAACAGTCTGAGGAGGCTAAAGTGAAGTTGTGAGCAGGAATATTTTTGATATATAGCTTTTAATAGTAAAATTGCTTTAAGGATGTAAAAATTTTATTTGAGCAACTTAATATGTTTTAAATAATTGTAGAGCGGCTTAATCATTCTAATAGCAAGGATCCAGAGAACAGTTATATTCTGTCACTTCAAGGGGGCTATCCCACCTTCTAGATGTGCATTTACCTTAACGTTTGGATCTCAGAAACTGGGGGGGGGGGCTTTGCAGGGATTTGAAGTAGAAAAAAGAAGCAGGGAAAGGGTTAATTGTCTATTCTACCTTCCTGCTGTTGTTTTTCTTCTTCACATCAGGCCCAGAGAGTTGGGGTAGAAAATCGAATTTTATGCAAATCTAATGTTTCATAAAGTTAATCAGAATGCCTATCCCAATACAATACTTCATAAGCATGGCAGTTTCAAAGTTCTAATTAATGTTATTCAGGCGATTATCCTTAGGAATTTTTTTGCGAGATGTATTTTGTTTGTTGATTTGAAAACAGGAGCTGGAATAAGGGATACAATAACAAATATGTACAATAATCCAAATAAAAATTAAGTCATGAATTCATCTAATTAGTGTGCTGGTGTGATCAACATCAGAGCTAAAATGCTTATTTATGCCTTTTGTCACATGGTAAAAAAGATAATTACCATTCTGATATAAAATTAACCAGTAATGCAAATGATACATTGAACATTGAAAGGGAAAATATGTATTCTAGTAATATCCATGGAGGTAAATTCTGTTGTAATAGATGAGTCAAAAGCATATGATGCAGTTTGTTAGGTGCGCAAAAATTAGTATGTCAGTGGTTTTGAGTGCTGTGGGGTTTTATTGTTACATTTAAGCGATAAAAATAATTAGTATGTCAGTGGTTTTGAGTGCTGTGGGGGGTTTATTGTTACATTTAAGCGATAAAAATAATTCCCACATAAAGTTTGAATTTGTTTGAATGTATCATTTAAACACTTGATTTATTTTTTCCTAATCCTGTATCTCCATTAAGTATTTGCTGCTGTTGGGGCATATAATTAATACTCATTAAATTTTGTTCATTAAATACGTCAGTATGTTAAATCAGATTACATTGTAATTAGGGCATCAGATAATTTTCTAGAAAAATGTCTAATTCAGAATTTTCCAGAAATCTAACATCACAATCATCCCCTTTCCTTTGCAGCTTTTTGGTTTTTTTGGGTGGGGGGGGGAGGCTGCCTTAAAGACAGTTTGCATCTGACAGTCAGTTTGGCCAACATGCTACAGAACATAATGTCTGAGGCACGAGCTTTATTTTGCTAGATCCTTATGCAGTCACCAAATATGTTTTCTCTTGTACTCATGTTTTAAAGTAGAATGATATATAGATTTAAACAAATAAATGGATTAAAGCCCAGAAGCCTTTATTTTGCCTCTTTGTCAAATTCTTTTTTAATTAATCAACTGCAAAACTCCTTGGTGTTATTTAGGTCTAACAGCCTTACGAAGTGATGAAGTAATTGATCTGATGATTAAAGAATACCCTGCCAAACATGCTGAGTATTCTGTCATACTTCAAGAAAAAGAACGTCAGCGAATAACCGATCACTATAAAGAGTATTCTGTAAGTATTCTCTCAAATTTTATTTGATGACATTAAAAAAAACCCCAGAATTACACAGAATGGCTTTTGAAGCATAAAACATCTGTAGCTTGTGAATTAATGAAAACGTTTTTCTTTCAGCAAATGCAACAGCAGAACACGCAAAAAGTCGAAGCAAGTAAAGTTCCAGAATATATTAAGAAAGCTGCCAAGAAAGCTGCTGAGTTTAACAGTAACTTAAACCGTGAACGAATGGAAGAAAGAAGGGCCTATTTTGATTTACAGACACATGTAGGATTGCTTAACTTATTTGCTCAAATTACTATAGACAGTGTTTTTGTTTGTAGTAAAGATCTTGGGTTTTTTGTGGGGGTTTTTTTTGGTGTTTTTCCTGGCTAGCATTCCTTGTTAAAATTGAGTTTAGTGCTTCTAAGGAGCTACGGTTTACCATTATTTTCAATCCACTTTGCTATCTTGCTTGTTCTTGGTTGATCAGGGAATTGACAAAGGTCTCAGATCAAAGATATCTTCTAGCCTAGTCTTTGTGGTCTGTATACAGAATAATGCAGTATTAATGCATTTGCCATTGTTTTTTCTTTGCTCTGAAAAAAGTGAACATTAAAACAATATTTCCCTTCACATTTCAGGACAATAATGCATTTTAATTAAACATAGATTCTTTACATTTTATTTTATATGCAGCTCTAATTTAAAAGTGCAAGAAGCCATATTCTGTGAATAAAGGCTGAATCTCACATATGCGGCTGAAAGCTCTAAGCATTTCAACATTCTAAGAAGGACATTACCTGTCCTTCTTGCCTAAGAATGTAATTCTCATGGCTCTAATTCTTAGATTCTTCCTCTTGCTCAGTATTCAGAGATGTTGTACATGGGATGGAACTTCACACTACAAATACTTCCAGCATTGGAGCATTACTTACTTATTTAGAAAATTTCTATGCTGGCTCTCCAGGGAACATGCCTGAGATAGTTTACAAAATAAAAATAATAATAAAAATAAAACATTAACACATATTAATTATATTCCAGCATTGAAAACCCAGTCACAGCATAACAATATAGACCACTGAGTAGCTTAAAATAAGTCACCAGAGCAAACACATACTAAATGTTTTTTTTAAAAGCAACCCCTTACTTCAAAATTAAGCCTAGGTTAGCAGAAACATTTTGGCCTTGTGCCAAAAAGAGAGCAATGTAGGTGCCAGGCAAGACTCAAAGAGGAACGGAAATTCCATAAGTGAGGTGCCACTACTGAAAAAGCTCTCTCTCTGATTGCCACCCACTTCACCTTTGAAGATGGAGTGCTAGGGTTGCCAAGCCCCGGTGGGGACAGGTTCCCTGCCCATAGCTCCAGTTTCCTGTTGCCACTCTAAATAGTCACAGGAGAAAATAAAAAGGGCAATGCTGTGATGTTACATCCAAAGAAAACCTGGAAAGGAATGAATCCTGTCTAGGAGTTGCTAGAAACTCAACAGTTTTACCATAGCATTCCCAGTGATCCCTAGAGAGGACTGGTATTCTGTGTGTTCTCCAGTGATGCCCCCCCTCCCCATTTCCCAGCCCACCATGTCTCCTGGCTGGTTGCCTGGCTGTGACATTCCAAGGGGGGGTCATGGAGAGCAGGGCTTGTGAGGCAGATTTTAACTGGCAGGCTGGACAATATGGAAGGAGGCAGTCCTTTAGGCACTTGGGGCCCAGACTATTTAGGGCTTTACAGTTAGGAACCATCACTTTGAGTTGTGTCCAGAAATGAATGTGCAGCCAGAGCAGCTCCTTCAGCACCAAGGTGATACAATCTCTTTATTCTGCCCCTGACAGTAGCCTGGCTGCAGCATTTTGTACAAGTTGAAGTTTCTGTACTGTTTTAAAAGGCAGCCCTGGCCTACAGCAAATTATAGTAATCTGACCTGGATGTAGTCAAACCACAGACCACTGTTGCTAGGTCACACTTTTTGATTAATAACAATAGCTGGAGTATCAGCCAAAGTTAAAAGGCACTACATGCCACAAGGGACTACAGTGTCCAAATGTAGGCCAGGATTCAGTAGTAATCTGAAGTTTTGGGGGAGTGCAGCCTCTAGAACAAGATGATCAGTCAACCCTCAAGCAGCTTTATTTATTTATTTCACACATTTTTATCCTGCCTTTCCACCTGATCAGGGTCCCCAAGGTGTACACATAAAAACATTAAAACATTTGCACAATTTAAAAACATTTAAAATCATAAAATAAGTAAAAACCAGTGCCAAATTAATATGATCTAGAGCATATGTGCATACATCTGCACTTCGGGTAGTGTTACTTTGCATGTGGGGAGCAGGAATAGGATCATAATGTTCTACTGTGTAACAGAATTTTCAGTCAGCATCTGTGTAGTCCATCTTGGGTTGGGGTAGGGGGAGTAGAGGAGAGAGAATTGTGGGAATTGAATCTGCATGCACATTGCTGAAGTCTCATGGTATTGTGGCTGGGCATGGTCCCTATTCAGTAATAAATACTTGATCATACAGAAAAAGCAAATCTGTTCATAAAATTGCTGTGGGATATAAATTCCTTGCTTTTTGTGTTAATGCAGGTTATTCAGGTACCTCAAGGAAAATATAAAATCTTACCTACTGAACGGACAAAAGTTAGCCCTTATCCAGTGGCTCTTATCCCAGGCCAGTTTCAAGAGTACTACAAAAGGTATGGTAAAAGTAATGAGATAAGGTTGTGCTGAGAAATCTGCTTTCATTAGTAAAGTATAATTTGTAGAAATTGCAAATGGAACTTGACTTGAAACAAGAATTTAAAGGTATGAAATATTCATGGTGTACTAGCTTGGCAAACAGAATTTATAAAGAGCATAATACTAGAGTGCTGCTATGCCAGATCAGATGCATGGTCCAGGATGACATAAGAGCATAAGAGAAGATATGTTGGATCAGGCCAATGGCCCATATAGTCCAACACTCTGTGGCACACACAGCCCCATAGGTAGATGATATTTGGTAAGGGGGCACTGGGGGTCATGGCATCACCTTTGACGTCACAATAAATAAAATAGGAATAGGAGAGTGCTTTCCTAGCCCCTCCCCATCTCGGCATCTGCAGAGCGCATTCCCTCCCTACTGAACAACTGCCGCTGTCCCCAACCCCATCTTCTTCCAGTGCTTCCCTCCAATGATTCCATGCAGGATGCCAGCAGAAAGCCACATATGTATCCTTTGTGAACTGGAAAACAGTTGTGCATCGCAAATGGGAAAGGGGGGGGGGAACAAAAGTTAAGAGAGGAAGGCTCAGTAAGAAGAGAGGAAGGCCCCATGGATCAGAAGAAAACTTTCCTCTCAGTGCAAGGTGGGGCTGCACCCAGTAAGTGGCTCTTGCCAAGGGCACTCGGGCTGCAGTCCTCCCAAAATCAGCGGCTTCCTCGGTCAGCAAGGGCTTTGCACAAGATTCCCGAGGCTTTGTGAAAAATGTGCCCAAGTGCAAGACAGTCTTGGCACCCCATGCATGGACTGGATGAGATCAAAAAGGGTGCCATAATAATAATAATACTTTCAATTTATTAATCGCTTTCCCCAGTGGGCTCAAAGCGATGTACAGTTACACATTTTAGACAGGGGACTAACAATGTTCATCGGGGATAGGGAAGACAACATATATTCATTTAAATGCACACGCTGTCAATGCATGGTGTAAACGTCTTCTGGCTTGGCTCAGTCATTTTCCAAAAGGCTGCTTGTCAACCAGGCTTCAGGACCCGTATGTCAAATCGCCACACTGCCACTGCCTGGCCGGAAATATCAACTGCAGGGATTTTTGTAGCCAAGAAGTTCTTCCGCCTTTTCTGAACCATGACCCGGACGTCCCGACCGTCAGCTAACACCCTCCCACAAGGGAGATAGGTGTGCCCACCCTCTCTAAGGAGTGGTTCCCATTTTATCTACTCGCCGAAGCTTTCGAATCGCTGGGTGGACGATGTGCTGGGGACAACAGGCTGGCTGCTCACACCAGCGTGGGGCTCGAACTAACACAGTTCAGATGTTAAGACTGTGGGATATAGAAGAAGAAGAAGAAGAGATTGGATTCATACCCTGCCCTTCACTACCCAAAGGTGTCTCAGAGCGGCTTACAAATTCCTTTCCCTCCCCCTCCCCACAACAGACACCCTGTGAGGTAGGTGGGGCTGAGAGAGCTCTGACAGAAACTGCTCTTTTTCAAGAACAGCTCTTATCAAAACTACAGCTTGCCCAAGGTCATCCAGCCCAGGTACAAGTGGAGGAGTGGGGAATCAAACCCGGTTCTCCCAGATTAGAGTCCGCGCACTTAACCACTACACCAAACCACTACACCAAACTACCCACTGTGCCACCGCTCCCCTTGCCCTGGCCGATCCCCCCATTTAACAGAAGAAGCCACCAGACCTTCAGAGCTGGTGGGAGCAGCAGAAAGGCCTGAGCTGAGCACACCAGTAGAAGAGCCAGCGGGGGTGGCCCGCTCTCTGCTGCCTCCACATGCGAGCAAGACCAGGGCAGGCCAGCTGGCTCTCTCCTCAGCTGCTCTGTGCGTGGCCTGCTCCTGGAAGGGGTGCGGGGACCAAGAGAAGAGCGTGCATGAATTCAGGGGGCGGTGGTGGCGCCCTGTATGCCCCGTGTTAGCTACGGCCTTGGTCACAGTGTCCAAAACCAGGTGCCATCAGTTTAAATGCCTTAAACCTTACAGGCCTTTTTTAGTGCTCTCAATGACCTATTTTATACCTATTTGTACCTTTCCTAACCTGTGGTATACATTTTATCTGAAGGGATTATAGTTTATATCTCCAAGCTTCCCAAAGGCATTTGACCCTCCTTACCTTTTCTTTCAGTTTCTTCTTCCCAAGCCCCCTTATTTGAGAGAAGTTACCCCTTCTAAAGTTAAAAGTAGTTGTGTTGGTCTTTTTGGACAACTCACTATTTACATAAATGTTGAACCTAATAATGTTATGGTCAGTGTTCCCAACTGGTGCTCTCATATTTACATTTTTCACCAGGTCTTGGGCATTACTTATAACCAAGTCCAGGATTGTTTCTGTTCTGTGACTGTCTGCTTCATGGTACAGTCCTGAGAGTATCTAAAAACCCAATCTCTTTTTCCTGACTTGAACTCATATTGACCCAATCAATGTGTGGGTAATTAAAACCACCTATTATAACACAGATTTTTTTTACTACCTGCTTTCCTTAATTCTTTTGCTATTCTTAAATTATCCTCTAACCTTTGATGTGGTGGCTGATAACAAACTCCCAGAGTTAAACTTCCTTTTGGGCACACTATTTCCACCCATAGCATTTCTGTAAGCAAATCAATTTCTCTTACATTCTCAATCTTACTGGACTGTATACCCCCTCTGACATACAGAGCCACTCCACCTCCGACCATTCACTCTGTATCCTTCCAATATAATTGATGCCTGATATAATTTATATAAGATTTATATATAATTTATATA